TTGATTACCTCCTCACAAGTGCTTGAAGCCTGTACTTATGTCGACAGGGTGTTCAATTATATGTTATGCTTTCTGCATATTTCTTTGAATTCCTCGTTGCTTGGATGACAGGTTTCACGATCCATTTTGTTCAATATATTCATATCTAAACTGAAGCTTTTCGCTGCTACTGGCAATGCCTAGTTTTGTGTATCACTTGTAATTTATTTCGTAGCCTTGCATAGATGTTTCCTTGTTTGGGGCATAGGATTTCCTACTTTGGGTCCGTAACAACTGGTGTGGCTCCAAGGTTAATATAGATAGGTAAACTTTCATTAGCTGGTCTACTTTCTTCACGCAATCTACTATCTTTGCGTAGTTTTCTGTTCTCCCTTATGCTGGGACCATCAACCACATTAACAAATGGTGACGCATGCAGTCCCGTCCTTGCTTCTCTTCGCATTTATATGTATTGCCTGTTTGGAATAGGTGATCAGGCCTGTATAAGGTTTTTAACATTTTTAAATCTTGTTATCAATTTTTTGTATGTACTATTGTTTTTTACCATATACATGTTTTTTTCAATTTCATAATGAAAACAAAACATCGTAAAGTTGTTTACATTTTAAAATTAGATTTTGTTCCATATTAGGCTACCATTTAAATTTACCACTTCTATATGATTTTTCTTTTTCAAGTGTTGTTTGTTCTATACATCATATGATTGCTATGAGTTTCATCTAAAAATGCTTTTTATAATTCAAATCTTCTGGTTCAAGGGCTGTTACATTTTCTGTTCTGACAAATGAGATGGTCAATAATTAAGTTCAATGGGAAAAAATGATGCAGGAATATGAAACTCCTACTTTCAAACCTGTCAAACTGTGTGTCTCAGAGATTGGAAACTTTAGACTTCTGAATACATGAAGACAGGTCACTTAATGTAAGAGAAATGTGATTTAGGGGTACTAATAGATCATAATATATGATGTTTGACAGTTTTCAGCATGTTTTGGCATGATGAGAAATCTTTCTAGCATCTAGTCGTGTTTCAGCATATTTCTTGTGCTTTATATCTGCAAGGTTAATTTAAGTATGTGTTTGACTTTATTAATCTTTTTGTATTGATATTCTTCAGGTTTATTAGGATTTCTCCTTTTGCAAACCGGTTGTCTTTTGATTCTCCTCCTCCTGTCCAGCGGCTGAGATGCCTAGCAAATTTTCAGGCCTTGAGGTTTTCTAGTCCTATAGCAAATTTGTCTGAACAGCTTGTTTCTCGAATGAAAGAACACAGTGCAGATAGTAATGGAAAATATATCGCAGTCCATCTCCGATTCGAAGAGGTTAACATTTTTTTCCAGTGTGCAATTTATTCAGTACGAGCACTTTTAGAGTATTTAAACAGTAAACTTTGTTTTCGTTTCATTTTCTGCAACTTCTGTAGGATATGGTTGCCTTCTCATGTTGCACTTTTGATGGTGGAGAAGAAGAGAAAAAGGACATGAACGCAGCAAGAGAAAGAGGTTGGAGAGGAAAATTTACCAAGCGTGGTCGTGTTATACGCCCTGGTCTTATTAGGCTCAATGGAAAATGCCCTCTCACGCCATTGGAGGTACGCTTCCCAATTTCTGTTATTTATTAGTTATTATCAATGTTTTGTTTTCAGTTAACTTCGTATGCTAAATCCATCTGCATATTCCATACAATAAGTACCCATATATTCGTTTAACAATAATATGAAGTATATCCGTACAATAGATTAATTTAAATTTGGCAGTAATAGCTATTCTTAGCACTTAGCAGTCTAGACTACACTATATTTAGTTATATTTTGTTTAAAAACCTCTATTTTTGTCAGGTTGGTTTGATGCTTCGAGGAATGGGTTTCAATAATAACACATTGATTTATTTGGCTTCGGGAAAGATTTATAAGGCAGAGAAGTATATGCTTCCACTTCTTGAAATGTTTCCCCTCCTGCAGACTAAAGACAGTTTGGCTTCAGAAGAAGAGCTTGCTCCATTTAAAGTAATGCTTTCTCAGTTTGGTTCTCAGGATTTATGTTTGGTCACCTGTCATGTTATATGTGTTTTTAACTATATAACTCTTGCTTCCAGAACTATTCTTCCAGAATGGCTGCTATAGATTACACAGTTTCTCTTCATAGTGAAGTGTTTGTGACGACACAAGGTGGAAACTTCCCTCAAATTCTGATTGGCCACAGGAGATACTTGTATGGTGGGCATTCAAAGACTATCAAGCCTGATAAAAGGAAACTGGCTGTACTGTTCGACAATCCTAAACTTGGGTAGGTCCTCTTAACTTAAAATTAGCTTCACTTGCATGTTCCATGAGTTCTATTGGATTTGATTTTGAGTTTGAAAATTTTAGCTTAGCTGAAATGGTTTTTGTCATTTCAAGCTCATTGAGCTTTCTATGCCTCTGCGTGCATGCATATGAGCCCATAGTTATGACTCGGTAACAGTTCCAATTTGATCAAATCAATGAAAATTTTATTTTTAAGTTTTTGAAGATTAAAATAAATCCACATCAAGAGGGGATAGCAGCCAGCACGTGCAGAGCACTCATCACAGTTAAAAAAAATTATTTGGTTCTTCATGAAACCCCTACCATATAAGTTCTTCTTCTTCAAGTTTTCTTTTTTCATGGTGTCAATTCCTGATCCATTGGGCTATTTGAGCTAAACTTCATGCTGGTGGGGTAAATTCTTTAATCTTATGTGTCATAATAGTGCTATAAGTGTTACTCTTAGATGTTGCCTTTATCTTGCAATCCCTTTCTTGTCATTACATTCCGCAACTGCATATCCTTATCCATTGTGACTATTGTTTGATTATGTGCCTTTGCTTTAATATCGTTGTGATGCTTATTGTAAAACATGGAGAATTTCAAAACAAAATATTAGCTAAACTTACCAAGTATATGGTTTAAAACAAAGTTTCTTACTTGATTGGCTATGCTCTTTTGGCAATGATATAGCAAGTTGATTTTTTCCCCCTCCTGGATCAGATGGAAGTCTTTGAAACGCCAATTGCTAAGCATGAGATCTCATAGTGATGCCAAGGGAATGGAGATTAAAAGAACGAATGATTCCATATACACTTACCCATGCCCAGACTGTATGTGTCGTTCAAATAGATCAGAAGTTGTGAAGTCTTTGCCATCTCGATGATCCTGGCTGTAATTTGTTGCTAATTGCTTTCCGCCACTAACTCAGTTTGTGCCATTTGTGATACACCCTGATTTTTTTGCTCTGGTGCGTCATCATTCTTTCATTGGCATCTCTTGGAAGCGCCATTATGTTCCAAAGCTTGCCAGCTCCAGAAGAGCACATTGTCCGATTCTTTTCAACGTGGGATAATTGCATCCCCTTATAAATACATTGACGACATCATTTATTTTGAGAGAGAATTGACCTCGTCACTGATATTTCGAAGCCAAATGTATGTACACTGCTGAAGATCACTGTACCAATACCACCCTCAGTTTTGACAGGCTTTATGTACATGATTTTTCCCCCTTTGTATACAAAAGTTGGATTTCATGATCATGCGGGACTAGGGGCTTGAATTTTTTCATCTGATGTCATTTTGTATTATTTTGTTACAGTCCCATCCAAGTTTTGTATTCTTACAGCACATTCCTTCACCAGAGATAGAAGAAAAGAAAGGATCATACCTGTTTAATTTTTTCTTTTTATTCTTTTGCATATAGTTTCTTTCTTTATTTTGGTGGCTACAATATAGTCCCACAAATCTGTACACATTGCATTGTATCATACGTCAGATATTCTTTTGTGGTTTATGCTGTCTGATACATTCTTTTGAGAGGAAAATGATCACGGTTGAATCTGAAATTTAGGGTTCATCCCTTGAACTGTTGCAAAATTCTTTAGGAATGTCGATGAGACTTTCGGGTGTATGATCTTCTCTCTTAATACTGTATGGCTTCTTTTTGGGCTGATTTTGTGAGTGGGTACTATACTCGCTTTGGGTATGGAACTACCCTTGGATTTTACCGCGAAAGATTCCAATAGAGCGCCGTATATGTTGTGTACAAGTATACGAAGCACAATTTTTTTTAAGGACTGTACACCTCTGAAGGAATAATGGTTAGCAATCTCAGCGCTACAAGGAAGTAAAAGGGATGAATAATATTACAACGTGCACAAAAACTGGAAAAACCTCACTAACAACCTAATAGTTCCCAGTCTCGAGAACAACTTCATCCAGCAACTCATCCAATATTAGATCCTCCAGCTCAAGCCCAACATCCTCGCAATCATACTGAAGCTCCATCCACCCATCATCCTTTGCAAAATCTCTAGCCAAAACGTATTCTAGTGCTGGATCCAGCTCTAACTGAGCATTAAGATGCCCGCTAACATTTGCCCATACCTCCTCTAATACCCGATACCCTGAAGGCATCGGTCTTGTCCGTGTATCAAAGCGCGAGAGCCAAGGACAGCAAGAAGATGAATGATCGTAAATTTCCAAGATAACTTCACTTATTAAATCAAACAGAAGCTGGTTATCAAGAAAGATTTCGGGTGTAGTATTTGCTGATTCCTCGAACAACGAAGGATCAACTGGCTGGTTCGGGGAGTACCAAGCTCGAAGAAAGTCAGTACTCCCGAACCCAGATTTCCAAAGTACATCTCTCACGTAATTAAATTGAGTCTCATGTTGAGGATCGACTGGAATGCTGAAGAAGTTATAATAATCATCAAGTTCGGAAAGTACTTGCAACGCTTCAAAATCTTCTATGCTACCTTCTAATTGATCAGAAGAATAAAGTTCCAATTGCTTTCGCAAATAAAGAGGAGAATCTAGCTCCTCGGGATTGATATCACCAAGTTTTAGCTTGAAACCTGCAAGAAATGGACAAGTTCAGTCATTATCAAATGAATAATACGCATGATTGTCGATATATTTTTTATTTTTTGTAACTTACGCTCTGAAGCAAGCGGTAGCACTTGTTCTTGTTAGCCAATTGCTTTGGTCCTCTTCACGGCTGAACTCTTCCTCATGAAGAGGGCCATCAATATTATTTCCGGTCTTGGACTCATCAGTATCACATATGTCAACTTTCATAGGTATCTTAAGTGACTGAACTGCATCAAACACTTCAAATTGGGGATCTTTCCTGAAAGAATTTGAAGCAAAATCAGGAAGAGAGAAAATTCTTCCCAAGGTTTTTGGGGGTCTTGCGACCTGCGAATCTCTACTATCTTCTTTCTTCGACTTTAACCTCTCAGGCATCCTTTTCAATTCTCTGCTAGAGACAGACTCAAGCAAACGAGAGTACTTGTCTAGTGATTCGCTTAGAGAGTGAGCTCTTTTAATGATTTTACTGCTCGGTTCTCTCTCGTATCTGGCAGTGGATGTTCTTTCCAACGAAGCTTGCTTTTCTTTCTTTGAAGCCTTAGAAAACTTGCTTCCATAAGGGAGTTTATGAAGAACTCCATCCATTGAGATTCTATGACCTTCTTTCCTGTTATCTTTGATCACATCTTTTATCCTTTTCTTGATAGCCTTGAAACGAGCTGAAGCAGTTCGATTGTCTTTAATTTCAGAAGAATTAGATATCATGCTAGCAGACTCGATAGTAGAATTCTTCTTGCTCTCAAATGATTCAGCGGTTGACGCGCCATTCCCAATAGTGTTTTGTTTTGAAGAAGAACTACCATCTTCAAAACTCTCTTTTCTGTACTGCGGTAACTCACTTTTCTGTGGCTTATGCTTAATTCTAGTTGTCTCCTCATTTTGCCCGCACGATAAACCTGATACTGGAAATGAACCAGATCTATCCAATGCTTTCTCTGCCTTAGTCTGCTGACTCTCTAGGAAATTTACGAAGGAGCTTGGGTCCTTGAGAACTTTTAGCAGCAATTCCCGGTTATTATTAAGTAACACCATCATGTCCATAAACTCTTTAGATTGATGGACTGCTGCATCTTGTTCAATTTCTTTAACATCTGTACCTGTCTTTTTCGACAATGTTTCCTTCGCATTATTTACCTTTTCTCTGAGAACAGAATGTTTCTCTTGCAATCGATTGGGAAATATATTAATCTTGTGCGGTTCTCTTCTCCTTTGAGAAGGAAGGTCATCAGAAACTTCGGGCTCTCTGTTTCTAGAAGAACTACTCTCCTGTGTGTCGCGAACAGTTGCATTTTCATTGTTATCGGCATCATCTTCAACATATTCGTCATTTTCTAAATGATGGATGGAGAGAGTTCGAAGCAATTGGGAGGATGTGGAAGAAACACTCGACACACTAGCCCTTCTTTTAGAATTATGGCTCCTCATGAGTACCTTGCCAGAATTATTTCTTGAAAAAACCCCTTCATCTTCTAACTGAGACCAATGAACATAATCAAAAAGTTAGGAGCTTGCAGGTTAACCTGCATATAGTATGAACAAAAGGAGAGGCATGAACTTATCTTTTAGATTCTAGATTTTGTGGCTTAATAATTTCCACAGAAACATGAAGTAGATCACTAGAATAAGATTCAGGATTCCACGAGCTTCTTTAATGAAATTTCAGGGTAAAGGATGCATATATAAGGTTGATTTTTCGCCGTGTTATGTGTTGAGGTTGATTGTTAGCAATACCAGCATGACGAAATGAACTTTAATCTTATGTGGATGGTGACAAACAAAAAAATCATTCAATTGAGAAGTTTCTGATCAAACTTACCAGGCGGTTTGCGATGTTTGCATTTTTATTCACAAATTCAATCCCCTCAGGAGTTGAGGCATCTTGTTTCAGTTTTGAAGATTTAGTTCCTGCAACCAGAACAAGGAACATACGACATGAGAACAAAGTCCCCGCCGCCACAAGCCCATATAACTAGAACTATGTCTTTCACATGTTGAACAACATAATCAGAAAGAAAATTTTAAGTGGATATCTATCAGTTTGCAAAGACTCCCACGCTGAATCCTATAGCAAAAGATTGAAATCATAGCGATGAAATTGAGAATATATAACCCCTATAACTTTTTATTATAGCTTACATCATCCTTAAACTCAATGATCCTACCACATGACACCTCAAAATAACTTAGGAAATAAGTTTGTAAGTCCTAATAAATAGTTTAGGAGGTATAAGTGGCTACATCCTCCCTGCTAGGACAGGGGTTGTCTCCGCGATATCCGTAAAATTAACTCGCTACGTGACCGAAAGACCCTGCTTTCAGATTGCATCAACTGAAAAGAGCAAGTGAATGGAACTGTAATACGCGCAAAAGAACAAGCTTACTCACTTTCACCCTGTTTCTTGTCGCCGCTCCTCTTGTTATATGCGAGCATCTTCTTGACGTGGAGATGGTGGTTGAAGTCGACAAAGTGAAGTAAACCCCCCATGCATCCGTTAGGGACGCCATCCTTCGGTATCTTCGATCTCTTTCTCCCCAAGTGATCAGCCATTGTGCACCGGGGACTATAGAGACATGCACCCCTCTGATCAAATCCGAACAAACTTACGAAATGCATCCTTTGGTATCTTCGGCATCTTTGATAAGGTGAAGTAAACCCCCCCTGCATCCATTAGGGACGCCATCCTTCGGTATCTTCTTCGATCTCTTTCTCCCCAGGTGATCGGCCATTGTGCACCGGGAACTACAGAGACGTGCACCCTCTGATGAAATCTGAGCAAACTTATGAAATGTCGGCAATACGAGGTGAATTTACAGAGTTGAGCAATTATTTTCGTATAATCCTTCTACATTTGATGCAACGGGTCATGATTAATCCTAGAAGAAGAAAAAAAATGGAAGTCATTTTTGGCCTTGTTGAAAGCATTAGAGCGTGAATTTGACGCAAGTTGGCAAGTCAGCGCGACGAAAAAACAATCATATTGGACCCAGTTTGGATGAAATAATTAGGAAATACATTAAAAACTAACATTGAGACCAAGGTAGGCTCCGAATTAAGAAGAATGAGAGAGGAGTTTAGGATTGAGGCAAGCTCGAATGAAGGAGAAAGAAGCCAATTTTGCTCGCTCCAATTCTCCCCTTTTTTTTTCCTCATCAGATTTCTTCCCTTTTTTCAGTTTTTTTCCCCCTTTTTAATTCTAATTTTATCCACTTTATGAAAGTTCTATTCCCTCATTTTCCGCCATCAATTGCAACCGCAGATAGTTTAGTTTTGTAAGGATATCGAGTCAGGACAAATTTTCAAAACAGTCCTCCTTGGACTTTTAATCCTAAAAAAAATCCGTTTTCAACTTATTTTCAGAAACCGACCTGGTTTCCGCCTCAGCGCTGAAACCAGGTCGGTTTCTGGGAAAAAAATCCGAAACTTCACGAGAGTTGAATTTACGTGAAGTTTAGTAAGCTTTACTAAATAAACTTCACGGGGGTTCAATTCCCGTGAAGTTTCATAGTTCAAAAAAAATTTTGAACTATGAAACTTCACGGGAGTTGAACCCCCGTGAAGTAAAGCTTACTAAACTTCACGGGAGTTCAACTCCCGTGAAGTTTCGAATTTTTTTTTTTAAAACCGACCTGGTTTCAGCGCTGAACCTGAAACCAGGTCGGTTTCTAAAAATAAGTTAAAAACGGGTGTTTTTTTTAGATTAAAAGTGTAGACGTGATTGTTTTGAAAATTCCTCCTGTCGAGTCATCGTTATTGCACGGAATACAAATTCAGAACGACACGAAGGGGAACGCATAAACAATAAACTACGAATAAAAACGTATAATTGAGTGTCATGAAAAATAAAATAAAATAACAAGGCGATGTGATAAACACGCTAGCGCGGAAAATCAACAAAACTAAAATTAATAATTTTTGTTTTGTGAAAGAATAATGAAGGAGAAAATAAAAAATAAACTAAAACTTCTCTTTTCCATTTTTCGCTGCCTCGCCCTGTCCTGACCCTCACCAAACACAGCTAATAATGACAAAAACTCCAAATAAAATATTCCCGTTCCTCAGAAGCTCCCATCCCCAAAAATCCAAAACCCTAGAAATCCCACGACCCCGCATTTTTTATACCGACGGTGATTTTGTTTTTCCGTCGATGTTTGTGGGGGTTTTAATAAAGGATCGTGGCGATGAGTTGATTTTGGGCAGGGACACGGAGAAGGACCCTCCTCTACATCAAGCGAGGTGAGAATTTAAGCTTTCTTGATCTATTTTTTTTGGAGGGAGCTGATTCGAATAGGGTTTGGGCTGATGGTTTCGGCGAGGGGATTGGGTATTTGACGGCGCGGTTAGGGTTCCGGTTAGGGTTAGGGTTAGCTTCAGTGGTGGGTTAGGGTTTGTGTTAAGAGTTAGGGTTTGAGTTTTGTTAGGGTTAGGGTTTGGGCTTGAGTTCGGGTTAGGGGTTTGGGTTAGTGTGGACGGTCAAAATGTATTTTCAGTTAGGCCATTGATCAGCTTGGATTCAAGAAGTGAACGCCCATAGGCTACACACTTCAAATGTGCCCAAAGTCAAGCTCACAATAAGCTGAAGCGAAGGTCGCTAAATGATTGAAGCGCACCTTGTCAAACCACCCATATTGACTCGACTCGACCAAATCAGAAGGGAGTCGACTCCCAAAACAAGCCCCAGGCTGAGTCGAAAGGCATTATCAGTTGGCTAAACATAGAGTCGAATTCTGTGTTAAATTTGAACTCATGGTAACTAATGAATTTGCCCATGTCAACTCATGTGGACCAAGTCATCCACTTTCGAAGAAGACTCGTCACGTCTACAGCGACCCTCGCTCACGAGTTTGGTGATATCCGTCCACGTCTTCAACGAACTTCATCAAGCCCGTGAAGCTCGTCGGATAATCATTTTAGGAGCTATTTTTAGGGAATAACCTCTCCCAATTATCTCTTATCTTAATGATCACTCAATCTATAATTAATGGGTCATTAACTCTCTCTTTTAGTCTATAAAAAAAGGGGAGATTATTTATTCAAAGGGGATCCGAGAATTGGAAAAAAATTTAAGGTCTATTCATCTAAGAGATCAAACCGAGTCCTAGAGAGATCAACTCACACGCATCAAGAGATTCGCATTTTCGATTCAATCAAGTGAAAGTGTCAATAGAAGATTGAGCTATCTTTCAAACCACTAAGCTTGCACCTATAGCAAAAGACCCTAAGTCTTAATTAGTATGTCAACGGAGTACAGGATTGATGTTCCATCGGCACACAAAAAAGAAACCCTAGGAAAAATAAAAATTTTCTTTGTTTCATTTTTATTCTTTCGATTGTAATATGAGATAATTACAATATTAAAAGAACCCAAAACAGTTAGGGGTTAGTGTTACGATTATGGTTAGAGTTAGGGGTTGATTGATGCTCCATCGACACACAAAAAAGAAACCCTAGGAAAAATAAAAAATTTCTTTGTTTCATTTTTATTCTTTCGATTGTAATATGAGATAATTACAATATTAAAAGAACCCAAAACAGTTAGGGGTTAGTGTTACGATTATGGTTAGAGTTAGGGGTTGATTGATGCTCCATCGACACACAAAAAAGAAACCCTAGGAAAAATAAAAATTTTCTTTGTTTCATTTTTATTCTTTCGATTGTAATATGAGATAATTACAATATTAAAAGAACTCGAAACAGTTAGGGGTTAGTGTTACGATTATGGTTAGAGTTAGGGGTTCGGGGTTAGGGTTAGCAGTTGGGTTTGTGTTTTCCTTTGAGCCGACTTTTTCCTTGGATATTTTTATAGAGAATTTTTTAAAAAATAGCATTTTTAAAACATATCGATCGTTTTTGTAAATAATGAGCAAAAGTGATCCTTTTTAGCCAGCTCATCAAGACTGACCAAAATGACGTCAATTTTGAAAAAAAAAATCATCTTCAAACCATGCGGATACAGTGATATTTTCTATTTTTTCATGCTTTTTGGCCATTTTTTGGAATATTTATCTGGTTAACCGGTTTTACCTCATCTTTGAAATTCAAAATTGATAAACACTAACAGCCCCAAAATCATCACCTCTCCTCCACCCCACCCCACCCCTTCAAATTCCATATCTTTATTCGACTACCTGTCCCCAAGGTACCACGGTGTCCTCAAAATCTACTGTCATCGCTTCTGCTCCCCTTTCGACTCCGATCCCAAGCTCTCGATACTTTCAGTTTTCTTGGTCTCTAGCCTTTGTTCTGCATCTAGGGTTCATTCGACCCCTTTAATTTTCTTTCTTTTTTGTTATTTTTTTGCTAATTTTATTTTGATTCAAATGTGTAGACAATGCGATGTTGAAATTTCTCTACAATTTGTCTTTCAAGCATCACAATTTCTCTTTCAAGGATTCATGTAGTCAAAAGTGAGTTTTTTCCTACTTTTTTATATCATATTCTTTTGTTTCAATTATATTATGATGGGATTTAATTTCTTCGAAGAAGGATTTTACTATAACTGAGGTTTCCTGTTAAAATTCACCACAAAATTGATGGTAATATTTGAAACCCTAAATTCTCGAGTTCTCTTTTCAGTTTCATATTAGTGATTTTCATAACCTATGTATTTCATCAAAATCCAAGGTTCAAGCCCGCCCCCATGCTGCAACGATCAGCTCCCTCGCAAGGCCTCTCGCTCTTGATCGCTCGAAGAAGAATAGATAGAAGAATCGAAGGTCCTCTTCTGGCAGCAGTGAAACTTGCTTCATCATCAGCATGGCGATGCTGAGGGTTGCAGTGGCAAGTCCAAGGCACCGCTCGGTGGGGATGAGATATTGAGTCATAGCGGTGACGACTAGGGTCACTGTGAACAGGCCCCCCCCAAGGACCAACATCCAGCGAGTTGGGTTCCTTGGGCCCGTCCAGAGGGAAAACATGGCAGCTGTACTGAATGCTAATATAGCGTAGTATAGGATGAGCATGACCTTCTTCTTCAGCTGAATTAATTTACTTCAGGAAAACCAGCTGAAGAAGAAGGTCATGCTCATCCTATACTATGCTATATTAGCATTCAGTACAGCTGCCATGTTTTCCCTCTGGACGGGCCCAAGGAACCCAACTCGCTGGATGTTAGTTCTTGAGGGGGGGCTGTTAATAGTGACCCTGGTCGTCGCCGCGGTGACTCAATATCTCATCCTCACTAAGCGGTGCCCTCAGCTACTTAAATATACCACTGAGAGGATATGGTTATGAATATGATTCTATAGTTAACTATCCAGATTCTTATTTGACATGTATAAATGTATGTTGATCATAGAGCTACATTGTTTCAATCTTGAGATTACTAAATTTAAAACTAGTTCTAATGATCAAGAGTTGCAATCTTATCTTTTTAGATATTACAAGCATATTAATAAACTCTCTTATGACATATGAGCTATATATTTTTTTCGGTGTTACTTTTTTTTTCTCATATTCGTTTTGTTTCTGCATTTATATATGTATATACATTAGTATACATATGTTGTATATTGTGTTTGTATCTGAAGTTAACAAATATGATATAATTTTTTTTATTAAAATATATTTGTATGGAAAATGATTTAAGGACCCAAAATATGGGACCAATGGAGGGGATAGGTGAGGTGTCCCCTCTCTATTGCATAATGAGTTGGCATGGCCAACTCATTATGCAATAGAGAGCGAATACCTTACCTGTTGCCAACTCATTATGCAATAGGGAGCGAATACCTTATCTGTTCCCTCCCTTGGTCCCATATTTTGGGTCCTCGTAGCAGCATTCTATTTGTATCTGTGAATGACAAGCGTGTATAAACATCATAAATATCATATTTAAGCCGCACCAGAAACCCCAGTCCAAACCTGCACCAGCCAGCCACGACCGACAGAAAAAGCAAAGCTCCGAATAAAAGTGACTAAATCTTACTTAGCGGTGTCCTGATCGCAAAACAATTAATAAAATATTCATGTCATCCCACACCCGTCTCTTCTCCTCTTCTCACTCTCTTCTCACTCCACTGAATCGAGCGCACAAATGGACAACTCCGATAATCCCCGATCTACCCCTGCAATCCTCCTAATATTACTCCTCCTACGCCCTTACGCCACCGCGGTTCACTCACTGCGCCATTCTCTCGCCTCATACCCCAATTTCTCCGACTTTTCCACCTTTTATCCTCAACCGGGCTCCGTCGCCCGGCGAGCTGACCGACCGTCCTCCCTCATCTGCCTCGCCGTCCCTCAACAAGTTCCCTCCTCCGATCCGACCTCGCTCGCCGCTCCTCCGCCGTCGCCGACGTCATCGCTACCACCGTCCTCCTCTGATACCTCTCGTGGGCCGGATCTCGACGAGATCCCTTCACCGGCGGCAGGCTCGTCGCCACCTCTCTACGCAGACCACGGGCCGCGCCTCCGGCGATCTCGGCGCCTGAATCTCACGCGAGAGTCCCGGCGGTAAGGTTACCGCCAGAATCGCCGTCCTCGAACGCCAACCTCGCTATCTCTGGTGAAGACCTTGGCCGTAACACAAACGTCAGCATCTTCGCACGTCTCAGATCTGTTGGTCCGTACGGCTCCGATTTCGCGGGCCGTCGGATGGCGGAGGCCCCGCCGTTAGGGCTGAGCATCAGCCGGCGTTTCTCGTCAACGGCAAGAAGTTCAACGTCGCCGCGTCGATGCTGGAGGCCTCGGCGTTCGTCGAGAGTTCGAGGAGGACTGAGGCAAGGCGCGGGATCACGGTGTTGCGTGCCCGACGACGAGGCGTTCGCGCGGATCTGCCGGCGACGCAGGCCGCTGCAGTCGTGCCCGGCGAACTTGAAGTCAAGCCGTGCTCTTTATCACGTGCTGGCACCGTCTACGCCTCTGGTGGGTGCTGGAATCGACTTCGGAACACGCTGCAGCCGACATGGCGACTGAAGACGAAGGGCGGGCAAATTCACGCTGAACATATCACGAGAGTGAACGGATCGTGGAAGATCGATACGGGGTCTGTTCAGCTCTATCACGCAGACGGTGTTCGATCAGAATCCGGTGGGCGTTTTTGGGATTTCTAGGGTTTTGCTGGCCGCGGGAGATCTTTGGCGGAGGAGGCGGCGCGGCGGCGCCGCCGCTGGGGGCGGCCGAGATCGGCGCCTGAATCGTCGGTCGATCGTGGAATTCGTCATCGGCCGTTTGGGGAGCAAGGAGGAGATCGAGATCGGGAGTCGCCGCCGATCGAAACGGGCGTTGGGTTGCATAGTCGTTAGGGTCAGCGTATTAGTAACTAACCGCTATGAATTGAAATCCTAGGTTTTTCTTTTAAAATTAGATTAACTTCATCGCCGGCAGGCAGCGATTTTGGTCCTTCACAGAATAGGGTTTGAGACCCAGACATCGGGAAGGAGGTGACGTCGGATATTTACGGACTGCCATCGCGGTAAGACACCGCGGCGAGTGAGCTGATATAGAGCGCGGTGAGCAGTGCAGTAGGTTCTTCGATGCTGTCAGGGGATCGGTGGTCCGCTGGCTTGTTTGACCTTTTTGGGCTGAGGAAGTTAATGGGCTTGGGCTCGTTATGGGCACCTTTGGGCTTTTCGTAAACAGTGTGGAGACTTTTGTGTGAGCTGGATGTTTCCAAGCAGTGAGGAGATGGTCAGTAGCTGCCACGATCAGTTGTATTTTGTGGTATGCAGACTTTGGCCTTTGAAGGATGCATGGGTGTTGCCGTCGTATTTGTTGACTATTATGCTATATTTACACGTGATATTGTAACTTTTTTTTGCTTTTCTTTGTTAAAATTAGTAAGTCATTGGTAATGTCTTAAAGCACTTAATACGTTTATATGATTTCTGGAGGTATGATGTGCTTGATTTTGCCATTATTTGGGCTCATCCTCGTTCTAGCCTGAAGGGGAGTAAGTTTTGAAGCATTCTAGGCCCGGGCCCGAGAAATGAGCTCAAATCTTACCGGAAACATCCCGAGAAGTGAGACATGTTTTTGAACTATACAGGAGACAATTGAAATGTTCAGTCTGCCCTCTACCCTCCTTGCGAACACCCGGCTCGTATGCTACAAAAATGTTCTGATACGATTTGTACTACCAGAGGATTTGTACTACCAGAAAAAAAAAAGTGAGTACGAAGCTATTTATGTGAGTCTTAAAAGTAAGTACTACAAAATTGTCCTGAGCAGTTAACTATTGGCATGGCACAAAGGATCAATTTGTGACTTGGCATAATTTACAGAATTTTAACGAGTACGTTGGTACGTTAGCTAAAAAATACTGATGATTTATACAAGGCTATGAAAATATCGTGTCACCACATCGAAGGGGTAAACATATCGCATATCAGCTGTTGCTCAGAAGGCTACCTAATCAATCAGCAAGCAACAAGAGTCGATATTGTTGACGAGGATGAAGGCTATCAAATGAGTGGAGGACAAAGTATATAATTAAAGAAGTCAATGTATCCTCAATGGACAACAAAGTTGACGCCTTACATGTTAACGCCTCTGAAATTAAAGAGAGTGACATTGTTAGCAATCTCTCCTCTTCTTGTTTTAGTAGCAAAACAATTGTACATGCAATACTAAACTATACTCATACCAACAAGATAATATTTTGAAGGGATGAAAACCTAAAAAGTACGAAGCACAAAAACTGCAGGTGAAAAGATTTCCTCTAAAAAATTATTGGGGGGGGGGGGGGGGGGGGGGGGAAAA